CTACTCACCACCATCTACTCACCACCACCATCTACTCACCACCATCTACTCACCACCATCTACTCACCACCATCTACTCACCACCATCTACTCACAACCATCTACTCACCACCATCTACTCACCACCACCATCTACTCACCACCATCTACTCACCACCATCTACTCACCACCATCTACTCACCACCATCTACTCACCACCACCATCTACTCACCACCATCTACTCACCACCACCATCTACTCACCACCACCATCTACTCACCACCATCTACTCACCACCATCTACTCACCACCATCTACTCACCACCATCTACTCACCACCATCATCTGCTCACCACCATCTACTCACCACCACCATCTACTCACCACCACCATCTACTCACCACCATCTACTCACCACCATCTACTCACCACCACCATCTACTCACCACCATCTACTCACCACCACCATCTACTCACCACCATCTACTCACCACCACCATCTACTCACCACCATCTACTCACCACCATCTACTCACCACCACCATCTACTCACCACCATCTACTCACCACCACCATCTACTCACCACCACCATCTACTCACCACCATCTACTCACCACCATCTACTCACCACCATCTACTCACCACCACCATCTACTCACCACCATCTACTCACCACCACCATCTACTCACCACCATCTACTCACCACCATCTACTCACCACCATCTACTCACCACCATCTACTCACCACCACCATCTACTCACCACCATCTACTCACCACCATCTACTCACCACCATCTACTCACCACCATCTACTCACCACCATCTACTCACCACCATCTACTCACCACCATCTACTCACCACCATCATCTACTCACCACCATCTACTCACCACCACCATCTACTCACCACCATCTACTCACCACCATCTACTCACCACCATCATCTACTCACCACCACCATCTACTCACCACCACCATCTTCTCACCACCACCATCTACTCACCACCACCATCTACTCACCACCATCTACTCACCACCATCTACTCACCACCATCATCTACTCACCACCACCATCTACTCACCACCATCTACTCACCACCATCTACTCACCACCATCATCTACTCACCACCATCTACTCACCACCACCATCTACTCACCACCATCTACTCACCACCATCTACTCACCACCATCATCTACTCACCACCATCTACTCACCACCACCATCTACTCACCACTATCTACTCACCACCATCTACTCACCACCATCTACTCACCACGATGAAAATACTTGTGTCCCAACTCTCGTCCAAGTCTCGTGTTGATGTGTCCCAAGTCTCGTGTTCAGCGCCCAGCTGAACTGAAATACTTGATAGAGGAGAAGGCGACCATCTACTTGCAGTCATTTGGTCGTTGGGTGCTGGTCACGCGTGACTGATCTGTGTACTTAATAAGTATTAAGGCTCTTAGATCACTTGTGTTATGATCGTGTATTATATAAAACAAATATAAAAATCTCTATAAAATGCAATAAAATTAAGAAAATAAAACTAATTTGCTTTCTTTAATAAAAGCTTTGATCTCCCATGAGATTTCTTACATATTTTTGCGACCAAAGCAAATTAGTTTTATTTTCTTATTTTCAGTGCACTAAAAAGCATGTTATTTAAAACGCTTTTTATATTTGTATTATTTTCCCACTATCTAGTCATTCCTTCGAAATGAAGTTGCCATTACAAAGGCTACGACTTAACATTTTCGCGTTAAAACCGACCAGTTGTTTGTGATTAATACAAATGAGTTACCTGCCCCTAGTTAGGTAGTGGACGGCGTCAGTGCGAGAAACCAGCCAGCCGTGAAAACAGTTCACACTTGACAGTCCTCATCACGTGACTGTTTACTGTTTGTATTTTATCTCGTTGTCTCCCCTTTATAATTAATACAGTTATCTTTGATTAATTTTTAATGACGAGCCTAATGTCTAATTGGATAAAAAATAGATATCCTTTCATTCTTATAACAGAATAGCGTACCTAGAAAGTTAGAACGAAATCGCTCCATTAGAACTGGGTCAAAATTGAATGACAAGATTTCTCCCCCGAGCCAGAAACAAACAAACAGACACTGTGAGCTGTTGTTGTATTCTCAGATGTGTATCGTACTGTGCTGCTACACGCAACTCAGCCATCCTAGCCAATCAACCTTGACATTGGTCGGTGTGTAGCAAGTAAACATTTATCATGTCATATTTTACATCCATAAAAAACTTTCATACATCATTTTCAGTCCTAGTCTCTGGTGTTTGATTGAAAAATATTTCCGATATCTCCAGTTGGTAGGGTAGTGGAGGGGTGGAGGGGGTGGGGTATCGGTGGGGTATCGGTGGGGTATCGGTGGGGTATCGGTGGGGTATCGGTGGGGTGGGGTATCGGTGGGGTATCGGTGGGGTGGGGTATCGGTGGGGTGGGGTATCGGTGGGGTATCGGTGGGGTGGGGTGGGGTATCGGTGGGGTGGGGTGGGGTATCGGTGGGGTGGGGTGGGGTATCGGTGGGGTGGGGTGGGGTATCGGTGGGGTGGGGTGGGGTATCGGTGGGGTGGGGTGGGGTATCGGTGGGGTGGGGTGGGGTATCGGTGGGGTGGGGTGGGGTATCGGTGGGGTGGGGTGGAAGGGAAAGACCAAACCAAGTATTTGGTAATGTTTATGCTATGTGGTGTACATTATTGCATTGTATTGATCAGAAGATAGATTTGATGTGTGCGTCGTTCAGATGTTATCAGAAGATAAATTTGATGTGTGCATCGTTATCAGAAGATAGATTTGATGTGTGCATCGTTCAGATGTTATCAGAAGATAAATTTGATGTGTGCATCGTTATCAGAAGATAGATTTGATGTGTGCATCGTTCAGATGTTATCAGAAGATAAATTTGATGTGTGCATCGTTATCAGAAGATAAATTTGATGTGTGCATCGTTATCAGAAGATAGATTTGATGTGTGCATCGTTCAGATGCTATCAGAAGATAGATTTGATGTGTGCATCGTTATCAGAAGATAGATTTGATGTGTGCATTGTTCAGATGCTATCAGAAGATAGATTTGATGTGTGCATCGTTATCAGAAGATAGATTTGATGTGTGCATTGTTCAGATGCTATCAGAAGATAGATTTGATGTGAGCACCGTTCAGATGTAATCAGAAGATAGATTTGATTAGTTTTGCATTTCACTAATTAATTGTTTAGCTCGTGAGTGTTAACCTGAAGCTGTATGACGTCATGGCTCTAATTACCCGGAGCCGAGAATATTCTAATGACACGTTCTCTTAATGTGGACGACAGTTCTCAGAATACACACGTGTATACACGTATGTCAGGGGGTATTGTATGTCAACAGATGTATACACGTCATAAGCATATTGTATGTCAACAGATGTATACACGTATGGCATAAGCATATTGTATGTCAACAGATGTATACACGTATGGCATAAGCATATTGTATGTCAACAGATGTATACACGTATGTCAGTAGCTCCGTGTTGTGCTTTGTGACGTAAGCTCCGTGACATTGACCTTCTTATAACTGACAACATTTTCATTGCCCTGAACCCCAGCCTCAGTGTGTGAACGATCTACTCACAACATTTTCACTGACCTGAACCCCAGCCTCAGTGTGTGAACGATCTACTCACAACATTTTCACTGACCTGAACCCCAGCCTCAGTGTGTGAACGATCTACTCACAACATTTTCATTGCCCTGAACCCCAGCCTCAGTGTGTGAACGATCTACTCACAACATTTTCATTGCCCTGAACCCCAGCCTCAGTGTGTGAACGATCTACTGACAACATTTTCACTGCCCTGAACCCCAGCCTCAGTGTGTGAACGATCTACTCACAACATTTTCATTGCCCTGAACCCCAGCCTCAGTGTGTGAACGATCTACTCACAACATTTTCACTGCCCTGAACCCCAGCCTCAGTGTGTGAACGATCTACTCACAACATTTTCACTGCCCTGAACCCCAGCCTCAGTGTGTGAACGATCTACTCACAACATTTTCACTGACCTGAACCCCAGTCTCAGTGTGTGAACGATCTACTCACAACATTTTCACTGCCCTGAACCCCAGCCTCAGTGTGTGAACGATCTACTCACAACATTTTCACTGCCCTGAACCCCAGCCTCAGTGTGTGAACGATCTACTCACAACATTTTCACTGCCCTGAACCCCAGCCTCAGTGTGTGAACGATCTACTCACAACATTTTCATTGCCCTGAACCCCAGTCTCAGTGTGTGAACGATCTACTCACAACATTTTCACTGCCCTGAACCCCAGTCTCAGTGTGTGAACGATCTACTCACAACATTTTCACTGCCCTGAACCCCAGCCTCAGTGTGTGAACGATCTACTCACAACATTTTCATTGCCCTGAACCCCAGCCTCAGTGTGTGAACGATCTACTGACAACATTTTCATTGCCCTGAACCCCAGCCTCAGTGTGTGAACGATCTACTCACAACATTTTCACTGCCCTGAACCCCACGTGGGAAAGGGATCGGGGTCTTTAAAGTGGGCTCATGAAACTCACACTTGGAAAAGATAGTCTTTCAGCAAGTAATTTCGTTTGATTAATCAATTAATTAATTGATAGGTACGAGGGGTTGGGTAATTACTGGACTAATTGTCAGTGCATAAGTATCGTTTTACGTCTGAAGTGTTTGTGTGTGTGTGTGGGTGGGGGGTGTTGTGACGTCATTAGACGTGGCTGATGTTTGATGTGGTCAGCAGAAAGTTAATTAGACATTATGGGATGGGAGAATGAGAGGGGAAAGAAAGGTAAGAGGGGGGGGGGGGAGGGGGAGAAAGAATAATTAAACAGTAAAATTTTACAAATTTTATTTTTGATAGTCTTCGTTTTTGCTTTTTTTTTTTTACAGTGTACATGGGAGTTGAACTCCCCTCAAAATTTTTGCAAAGCTGCCAAATAAAACAGGCAGGTTTCAACTGACATCCCTGCCTGCAGACCACTGCTGACAACCTGCCTGCAGGCTGCCTTATTGCAGGCTAGCATTGAGAACTGCTTGCAGGCTGCACACGCCTACCGTCACGTGCCCGCACATTCTATCAGCCGTGCCACGCTGCATGTTTACTCAAGTCAAGGCTCCCACGTGACCCTCCCACGTGACCCTCCCACGTGACCTGCTCACACAAGACATGCTCACACAAGACATGCTCACACAAGACATGCTCACACAAGACATGCTCACACAAGACATGCTATCAGACCTGGAATCTCAGAGCTTTTAGTGCGCGCGCTCAGCTTTCACTCACCAGTCACTGGCACTGTCACAACTGCAGTCCTGGGAATTTCAAGGGTCATCGGCCGCCATATTGGTGACCTATTGACCCGCTTTCTCAAAACATGCTGTAATTTTTAAACCAATTCTTCACCAATGTAAACAAACATTGCAAAGAAATGGCATTCAACTTGTAACACTCTTACCGAGAAAACATAACTTTAAAAAAAACACCCCCCCCCCCAGTGTCACAACACCTTCCCACTGTCACAACACCTTCCACTGTCACAACACCCTCCCACTGTCACAACACCCTCCCACTCTCACAACACCCTCCTACTGTCACCCTCCCACTGTCACAACACCCTCCCACCACCACTGTCAAAACACCCTCCCACTGTCACAACACCCTCCCACTGTCACAACACCTTCCACTGTCACAACACCCTCCCACTCTCACAACACCCTCCTACTGTCACCCTCCCACTGTCACAACACCCTCCCACTGTCAACACCCTCCCACTGTCACAACACCCTCCCACTGTCACAACACCCTCCCACCCCCACCACCACTGTCACAACACCCTCCCACTGTCACAACACCCTCCCACTGTCACAACACCCACCCACTGTCACAACACCCTCCCACTGTCACCCTCCCACTGTCACAACACCCTCCCACTGTCACAACACCCTCCCACTGTCACCCTCCCACTGTCACAACACCCTCCCACTGTCACAACACCCTCCCACTGTCACAACACCCTCCCACTGTCACAACACCCTCCCACCCCCACCACCACTGTCACAACACCCTCCCACTGTCACAACACCCACCCACTGTCACAACACCCTCCCTCCCACCCCCACCCCCACTGTCACAACACCCTCCAACTGTCACAACACCCTCCCACCCTCCCACTGTCACAACACCCTCCCACCCTCCCACTGTCACAACACCCTCCCACTGTCACAACACCCTCCCACTGTCAGAACACCCTCCAACTGTCACAACAAATTCCCACCCCCACCCCCACTGTCACAACACCCTCCCACTGTCACAACACCCTCCCACTGTCACAACACCCTCCTACTGTCACCCTTCCACTGTCACAACACCCTCCCACTGTCACAACACCCTCCCACTGTCACAACACCCTCCCACTGTCACAACACCCTCCCACCCTCCCACTGTCACAACACCCTCCCACTGTCACAACACCCTCCCACCCTCCCACTGTCACAACACCCTCCCACTGTCACAACACCCTCCCACTGTCACAACACCCTCCCACCCTCCCACTGTCACCCTCCCACTGTCACAACACCCACCCACTGTCACAACACCCTCCCACCCTCTGACTGTCACAACACCCTCCCACTGTCACAACATCCTCCTACTGTCACAACACCCTCCCACTGTCACAACACCCTCCCACTGTCGACCTCCCACTGTCACAACACCTTCCAACTGTCGCAACACCCTCCCACCCTCCCACTGTCACAACACCCTCCCACTGTCACAACACCCTCCCACTGTCACAACACCCTCCCACTGTCACAACACCCTCCCACCCCCACCACCACTGTCACAACACCCTCCCACTGTCACAACACCCTCCCTCCCACCCCCACCCCCACTGTCACAACACCCTCCCACTGTCACAACACCCTCCCACAAATAAAATGATCGAACTGACTTTTTCAATCACTTTTTAATGCGCTGCTTATTTTTTAATTGAATATAGAAAAAAAAAAATTGCAAACCTTTCTGTTTGTTTTTTTAAATTTTCAGATGATTTGGTTTCAAAGCTTGAAGCCAAATATGTTGTTAATTAGTCTATGCAAGCAGCGGGGATTTAATTACAGGAAACTTAATATCTTAATTAAATTAGGTTTTTTGTCACTAACAAGATTTTATAATTAGTATTTTATAACGAACACATACAAACACATACACACATTTAATAGTCTAATTTACCTGTAGAAGGAGTGGGGGGGGGGGGGGCATTAAATAAATATATAACAAGACATATGACCCGCAGACAAGTTTAACAACGAGCCATGCTAAACGTTTAACATGTCATACGTTAAACCAGGCGTTTTTACTTGAAGAGGATATCACAAGTTAAACCGAGAGTTCCCCAGTTAAACCGAGAGATAAACAGTTAAACCACCACATACCATTTGAGTGTCGGCTCATATAGTGTAACCGTTGGCAGTCAAGTATGTTAGACCAGAGCAAGGATCACGCGAGACCAGAGCGAGGATCACGCGAGACCAGAGCGAGGATCACGCGAGACCAGAGCGAGGATCACGCGAGACCAGAGCGAGGATCACGCGAGACCAGAGCGAGGATCACGCGAGACCAGAACGAGGATCACGCGAGACCAGAGGGAGGATCACGCGAGACCAGAGCGAGGATCACGCGAGACCAGGGCGAGGATCACGCGAGACCAGAGGATCACGCGAGACCAGAGCGAGATTTCCATTCACACCGGTCGCCCCAGAGGTCACGACCCTTGCTCCACAAACAAAACACCGTCTACGTAATGGGGGGGGAGGGGGGGGGGCTATCACTTGACACAACTTGATGCACGTGCAAATGGAAAGACTAGAAAGGGGGGGGGGGGGGGGGAGATATTTAAGAAGGGGCTAGAAACCCAGTGGCGGAACTAGAAAAAAGGGGCCACCCCGCAAAAAATTTTTTTAGCCCCCCCCCCATATAAATATATAGGCCTATATATGTATATATATATATATATATATATATATATATATATATATATATATATATATAATATATATATACTCAAACACAACATACGAACATAGGATACTTATTCATGCTGGCCTGACCGTGTTATGAGAAATACGTGGGTTTTTTTTATTATTGAAACAAATTACAACATCATGTCATGAGTGTAAGTGCATTAGTCTGTTTTGTGAACATCAGTTTTAAATTATCTTTGCCCTATGTCCACTAACAACATATCGGTCAAAAGAATATAAAACATGAAAGCTTTCTGTAAATAATGGTGTCTCGTGTCATGTTTATTTTTATGATTTTTTGTGTTTATTTTATTTATCCTAAATACATTTTCTTTTTATACAGTGTCATTCTTTAGTAAGTAATTTATAAACAAATAATAATAAAGAGAAGTAATTGCTTTTTAATTTGTTTAGTACAAATCTATTAAAAAGAGGCTATGAGCATCACTATTTGATTATTTAAAAAAGGGAAATAAGTCATGGAAGTGGTTTGAACGTTTGCTTATCTTTGATGAGTTCGATTGTAGGAGAAAGAGAACTCGGCTTTCACAGTGGTTTAAAAACGAAGGTAAAATGAGCGTGGGGTGGTGTCTATAGAATAAAGATAATCCAACCGCAGCTACGATAATCTTTTTACAAAACAAACATTAAGTCAAAAATGCAAGAACATTTTTTTTTTTTAACTATAACAATTTTTTTTTTATGGTCGGCCGTGGGCCCCTAAATGGCGTGGGCCCCCCCGCATTGCGGGGTCTGGCGGCACTGTAGTTCCGCCCCTGTAGAAACCACCACATTACATTTTTAAACTCTACACCGAATGCTAGTTTTTTTTAAGTAGTTCCCAACATTTGTTTATTGTATTTAAAAATGCCGTGTGAGTTTCTTTTGATAGGAAAAAAGGTTTACTTGTTAATATATAGGCCTACTTGAACACTCATACACACACGCACACATACACACACACTCACACACGTGAGTTAAGTGGCTTTGACAGGGGAGACAATTTAAAAAAAAAACTAAAATGGGAGACTATTAAAACTGAGGAGTCTGTTATAAATGGCTTTTAAGGGAGATAATTTCACATGACTCTCGGAGGGTGACGATTATAACTAAAGAGTGTGGGGGCCAGGGGACACAACTATCGGACGTAATGTGAGGGCCCCCCGGGTTGTCCCCGCCCGGCCTCAGACGAGAATTTCCATAATTAAAACACCGCGCAGTCGCCGGGTGCTGACGTCACGGCCTCGTCTTGGTGCGGCGGGAAAAATCCTGTCACTTTTGGTCCGGTTAAAAATAGAAAGCAGACACGTGATCAATCACAAGTTCAATATTAGCCCCCCCCCCCCCCTCCTCTAGCACCCCCTCCCTGCCAACACACAACCCTCCCCACCCGAAGAATCAACCAACGCATCCAAAAGAGGAAGATTACTTTGTGCAATATTTTTTCGACCGACAAGGACAAAGGGCTACAACTGTGTCTTGAAGACATCTTCGTCATGCACGCACGACTGAACATTTCAAATGAAATAACCAATCAGTAAAAGTCGCAGGGGGAGCCTACTCCAGACGGAACCAACAGAAAGGGAGAATAACTGCAGTTTAAAATAAAAAATGTATTCGAATTTTAAAATTATTTTTATTAAATTATCGAAAAAAAAATAGTTGCTTCTGGTTTTTTTTTTCTTTATTTTTAAAATGTAAACAAGCAAAATGTTGTGTTATTTTTACAAAACTGTTTAAGTTAGTTTTTTTATGTTTTTTTAAGGACATATAGGCTAATATACAGGACATACGGTACAGTTAACATACAGGACATAAGAATAAAGACGCAGGATAACCAGTTTTAATCAAGACGGCATTTGGTACTGTGTGCCTCTAGTTATGTGGACCTCTAGTTATGTGGGCCTGTAGTTATGTGGGCCTCTAGTTATGTAGGCCTGTGGTTTTGTGGGCCTCTAGTTATGTAGGCCTCTAGTTATGTGGGCTTCTAGTTACGCGGGCC